GAACCAATTTTGCAAATTGGTCTCTAAACTTTCTCATGTATGTGTTTTAATCATTTTTCGAAATTTTTCATCACGTCGACTTCTCTTCAATTCAAATTGAATTTTGGCATTCTCAAATCATCATTTTGCAATTCGACTCAACTTTTGAAATATTGCATTTTACTCCCCAAACTTTGTATTCAATTCATTTCAGCTATTTTATCTTGTAATCTTTTTTCCTTTTATCTTTCAATTGTATCCAATTAAATCATTGACATCTTTGATCTTCATTTTGTCGCTTGTCTCATCTTGGATTGTTTCCATTTCTTTTTCTTTTTTTTTTTAATTTTTATTTCAACACTTTTTTCTTTATATGTGTCATTCTCTCCTTTAAATTTTCTAAATAACCCATTTAGCGAGCTTTAGGCTAATGACTCTCAAGTCAGTTGACTTTAGGGCAACATATTTTAACATCCTTATAAGCTTAATAACTCGAGTCACAAAGACTAAGAAAAAGAAATTTTCAATTAAATTTTTATTTTGTTTTGATTAGTGCAATGGTCTTCATTAAACACTTATCCAAGTAAACCGATTCTAATTTGAGACTTTCGTCCAATTTCATCCTATTGACTTTAGACAATCTACACATGATTTTTAATTTAACACATGGAATCCCCATTTATCCCATATCTTCCTCCATCAGTGAAATTCCCAAACTATGCTAATATTTGGTCTAAGGACATAGAATTTAGTGGTTCAAGTTTAGCATCAAAGGTCCACTACTATTTCAACCTATTCAACCATTAATAGATCAATTCATAATTCAATATATTCCGCATTGCTAGCCAGGTCAAATAACTCACGCAAGCACACACAAAGAAAATATTTTTGAAATTTTTCTTTTTCTTTGTTTAATATCTGAAGCAATAAAATACACACAAAAACAAAATAATAAAAGAAAACTCATGTTTTCCACCCCTAAACATAAACTTAACTTTGTCATCAATGTTGTAAATGCCAAATCCGCATATAATGTGGTGGGGAAGAAATAAAATAAAATACTCTCCTGAAATGCTTTGAAATCCAATAGCAATCTTTCTATTGCTCCTCGTTGTGTTTCTTGGTCATTGTTGGTTTAAGTGTTCTGCGACGTCATGTTCCTGTACAATACGATTAGATAAAACATTTAAAATCAATAACAAGTGTTACTTAGCTCAAATATCTAATAAATCAACTAAATCTCGAGGATCTAAGGGTAAATGACTATTGGATGATGAGTCCCTAATTAAAACTAATTAACTAATCTAAATTATCATATGACTACAAAGCATAATAAATGAAGGGGAAGAAAGATTGGGTTGTTTCTCAATAAGCGCTTTGTTTAAAGTCCTTAACTTTATTGTTTCAACATCATGAAATTCTGAAGAACGCTTTTGATGCCTTTCTCAGGTTGCCTCTTTTGACTTTGCTCTACTTTTTGTTGTTTCTACCAATTTTAACATTGCCCCCTCCAATGTGATATACCTTGCATATCTCATTCGATTCAAATTCAATTATGTAGACTTCTTCCTCTTTTTCGGGCTTAATTACAAATTCAATAATAAGGCAATCAATAAAGTTGACAGAATGTGGGTTAACATCTTCTTCATTAATTTCCTCATCTTTGTTTTGCTCATTTGTAATTGAACTTTCATCGTCTTTGTCCTCGTCTTCCAAAATTGATATCTCCTCGGGTTGAATAGCCGGTTCACAATCTAATCGACGGGCCATGAAAATACGTTTCTTTCAAACTTTTCGAATGGATTATATCCCTACCATTTATATTCATACCAGAATACACCATCTCCCACACACAGTTTATTTTCATCCAACTTGGCAAGATTAATGTAGTATTTTGCAAGTGCCTCATTGTTCAACGTGAAAGGACCAAAATCCACAAGCGTGTCGGAAGGGATAGACTCGTCTGTAGGCAGGTAGGCTTCAATGGATGTGTCAATTCCTAGTCTTCAAAATTTTAGATATTGCTTAAAGTGTAGGAGTTTGAGCTAATAGGGATCAATGCATGTATTCAAACAATATCAAGTATAATGCACACCATAGCTGAATTTACACTAGATATCTTCTTCCTTATAGTTCATGTCGAGATTATTTGTTGAAAAAATCTTCTATGAGCCAAAATCAACAAAAAAAATAATAAAATAAAAATCGAATCTAATATAAACTACTAAACTAAA